AGGGAAGGAAGGAAGGAAGGAAAGAAGGAAGGTAGGTAGGTAGGTCGGTCAAGGTTCATCAGAAATGCAGCATAGTTCCCGGCAAAGAAGGTGGGCCTTGGAATCTAGCTCTCTCCAAACTCTGACCCCAACACTGTCAGAGCGTGGCTGTGAGGAGTAACAGGGCCATGAAATCGAGAGAACCTAGCACTATGCCTGTTGCTGTTGTGTGTCATCAAGTCAAAACTGACCCATAGCTGGCCCTCCAGGGGGGTTTCAAAGACAGTAAATTACTTGAGAGGGGACTGCCCATCCTTCTCCTGTAGAGTAGCTGGTGGATTTGAACCTTGTGCCTTTGAGATTGTGGCACAGCTTCTCACCATGAGGCCACCAAAGCTCCATTCTAGATCATAATAAAGAGCAAGGGAAAATTTGTTTATTCCCTCCTTGAGTTTTCATCCATTTCTGCCTTATGTCCTCCTTTTAAATCAGTATTACAACACAGCAGGACTTTTTTCCCCCCACGTATCAGTGTCTTTTTATTTTTTTTAATAGGTTTTAATATAATTTCTTTAGATGATATTTCATTCATATACACTGTGTTTTATACAATCTTTTATTTACATTGTACAACAGGACTCTTCTTAATATTTTATTTTATTATTTTTTGTGCATGTACCATCAAATCAGATCTGACTGGTACAGGTGAGATTGTCCCTCCTTCTCCAGTACAGCATCTGGTGGATTCAAACCATGCATCTCTGGGATTGCAGTGCAGCTTCTTGACACAAGGCCACCAGAGCTCCCTAACAACAGGGCATTTTAAGGTATTTCTCCTTAAAGCTTTTTCTCCTGAAGCTTAGTCTCTCCTGATTACACACCTATTTAGGAAACAAAAGTAAAATGATCACCTGTAGCAGCTAACGCGTGTCTCAGTCCAGCAGCAATACATACAACCTTTTCTCTCAGGAGCTGTCAAGAAATGGAGAATTTACACCTCAGAGTTATCCATCCACAGAAATGTATTATTTAGACCCAAATGCAACGTAGTATGGTCCCCATTATGTGTCTGATTTATGTAAAGGGTTTTAAAGGGGCTTTTACATCTATAAACATATTATGTGCCATTGAGTGGACTACAGTTCATAGTGACCTGATGATGGACAATAACTCTGAATTTTGCTCTCTCCTGAGCCAACCTCACCACCTCAGACACACATGTCCCACTGTCACAGTCACTGTGTCAATCTATCTCTTTCAGGTTTTTCTTCCCCTGTGCTTGCCCTCCACCCATCCAAGCATTATGTCCTTCTCCAAGCATGGTCCCCCTTGGCAACATGTCCAAAGTACGTGAAATGAAGCTTCATCTCCCATGAGCTTCACCTCCAACAAGCAACCTGGTTTCACCCTCACTGGGACAGACCTGTTTGTTCTCTTGGTGGTCCCACAGTATGTTCAATACCTTTCTCTGCCACCACAACTCAAAGACATTGATTCCTCTTCTGTCATCCTTAGTCACTATCCAGTTCTCAGATGCACAACAAGCAACTGAGAAGACCATGGCCTGGATCGAGTGCACTTTAGTCTCTAAGACTTTAGTCTTTAGACTGACAATGTTGCTCTTTAACACTCTGGAGAGGTCCCTGATGGCAGACTTTCACAAAGCAACTCATCTTTTTCTTTTCTGAATACTGGTGCCAAGGGTATTGATTGTGCATGTCGATATAGATCTCTAAACATCTGATCTTTTTAAAAATCATAACTATAATACCATATCAACAATGCTTGTCAGGGCAGGAGGGAACCCTGAGATCATTCAGGTCTGGGCTGGCAAACATTTTCGGCACATGGCCAGAATGTACATGTTTTCAACTTTGTAGGCCATACGGTATCTGTCACAACTACTCAACCCTGTCACGGTAGCCTATAAGCAGCCCAGACATACACAAATGAATGGTCTGGCTTTGTTCCAATACAATTTTATTTACCAAGGGTTGTAGTTTTTCAAACCCTGGTCTCATTAAATCTCCATCTAATGCTAAAATCTCTCCCCAACACCTTACCAAGTGGTTGGTCATTCAACCACTGCCAAACACCTAGCTCCTGTTACACACACCTTGCCAGGCTCACCACCTTCCCAAGTGTCTGTTTCATCTTTGCACAGTTTCATTTATCTCCTTGGTGGAGGCACTCTGTGTGTAGCTTCCAACAATGCTTCCCAGTATTTGAAGATAGTTGTCAAGTTTTCTTCAAGACAGCTTATGATAGTTTTAAAAATACAGCTTCAAATTATTTTATACATTTCCACTCAATATAGGTAGTCCAACCTATCCCAACCCCCATTACAAGTGTACTGGACGGAGTGACTCATGTCCAGTGAGTACAATGAGGGCGTGTGACAGAGAGACAAGGTGACAAAAAGCACCGAGGCTGCCCGTGTGGCCACTGTCATCTGGCAGAAGCCAGCTGCCATGTCTGAAGAGTTCTACAGAGAGTCACACAGACAAGGTACTGAGCCTCCTGCTAATACCATGAGAGAGAGCTGGAAAGTGGATCTTCCAGTTGAGTTGAGCCTTCCAGAGAAATGTGTGCTGACTACACGCTCATGAGACAGCATCTAAGCTGCTCCTAGATTCCTGACCCTCAAGAGCTGTGCTCTATAATAAATGTCTGCTATTTTAAGGCACTACATTTTGGGATAATCTGTTACAGATAAATACATAACTAATGCATAGTTTTTCCTTAGGCCAAACATTCCCAAAAACATCAGCCATCACCCTCATGATGACCATCACCCTCATGGTTTCAAATTCCCTAACCATCTTCTAAATATGCTCTACTTGGCCAATCTCTCTATTTTAAAGTGACTGTAAATGCATCAAGTATAGCCTTCATGGGGTTTTACTGTGCTTGTTTGATGACAGGGCCACAGTATCCTATATGATTGCTTTTATAAGAAATGTCCAGAATAAGCAAATCCAGAGACACAGAAAATAGATTAGAGGTTGTCAAGGGTTAGAGAGCACATTTAACTACCATAGCACAGCGTGGAAAATGTCATGCGGTTGGCAAAATGTATGATGTATGCACTCTCTGAGTAAGAATATGACAGATGAGTAGTGATGGCCCCAAATTTCTGGAAATATAGTAAAAACTATGGGACTGTATACTTTGTAAGAATGAATTTTATGTATGTGAAATATATCTCAATAAAGCTGTTACTTATCTCAGAGGTATGCAGTTCAAATCCACCAGATGCTCTGCTGGAGAAGGAGGGACAATCTCCTCCAGTACCAGGCAGATCTGATTTGATGGTACATACACAAAAAATAATAAAATTTAAAAAAAAAAACAATAAAGAAGTATTATCCTTTTAAAAAAAAAAGCTGTTATTAGAAAATTAATTTCACCTATTTAAATTTTATTTTTATTTTCTAGATGAGTGCTACTAGAAAAATTCTAACTGCATCTCTGGCTGACATTATATTACCACTAAGCAGCATTGACTTGCGCCATTTGCAAGACTTCGTGTCATTAGGCAAGTTATTTTGATCTGGGCTAGTTTCTAGCAGAATTCTCATTATTACTAATTTAGAATTGTAAAAATGTCTTTAGTGCTTTTATGAAATTAATTATTCTACTGCTTAAAAAGAGCTGTGGTGGTGCAACAATGAATGAATGGAAATCCAAAGTCTCTGTAAACTTTAACTGAAATTAATAATAAATTTTAAAAAAAAGAGCTGTAGTGGGCCTAGTGGTAAGGAGCTGTGCTGCCAACCCAAAGACCTGCAGTTCAAATTCACCAGTTCTCTCAGGAAGAAAGATAAGCAATCTCCTCCTGCATGACATACAGCCTCTGAAAATCTGCTACTAGGAGTCAGTTCTGACTTGATGGCACATAACAACAACACTGCACAAAAATGTTACATAAGTATGAAGATGCCTTAAACTTATCAGTAAGGAAAATAATGATCCTGGGTGATGACAGGATCCTCTCTGCTAATGTGAGAAGAATTTTTGAGCGGGTAAAGGTTGCCCCTATGGTGAGCCGCCTACTTTGTGGGATGCCTGGGTGTCATGATCTGCCCAACCCTTATTCTTTAAAAAAAAAATAGATTAGCGGTACATTAAAAAAAAAATATGAGAATTAATGGAATTTTCTAAGAGCTACTTCACAACATCGAACTTCCAAGCCACTTTTTCCCAGAAAGACCTGAAGTTTTCAACTCAAATTCTCCTAACTCATTGGTTTCTGAGACTAAGTCCTTTAGTCTGGAGAAGGGTGGTTGTAGTTGTTGTTGGTGGTGGTTGTAGTTGTTGTTGTTGTTGTTGCTGTTGTGGCCATTGAGTCGCCTGCAACCAATAGCAACCCTATATACAGCAGCTCTGAACCCTGCCCTGTCCTGAGCCAGTTTCACTAATTCTGACACACCAACCCCTATTGCCCTAGTTACTGTATCAACGCGTCTTATCTGGGGTCTTCCTCTCCTGCGCTGTCCCTCCACCCTTCCAAGCATGATGTCTGATGTCCTTCTCCAAGGACCAGTTTCTCCTGGCCAAGTGCCCAGAGTATGTGAGACAGAGCTTCAAAATCATAGCCTCCAAGGAGAAACTTGGTTTCACCCTAAGACAGACCTATTTGTTTTCTTGGCAGTCCATGGTATGTTCAAGATTCTTCTCCAGCACCATAATTCAAAGGTATCAAATCTTCTTCTGTCATCCTTAGTCATTGTCTAACTCTCTGAAGCATACCAAGTAATTACAAAGGCCATGGCCTGGATTAGGTGTACCCTGGTCTCTAGACTGACATCGTCGCTTTTCAGTACTCTGAAGAGGTCACACATGGCAGATTTTCCCTATGCAAATCGTCTTTTTCTTAAAAAAAAATTAATTTTAATGAAAGTTTACAGAAACTTCGGGTCATTCATTGTTGCACTTTTCTCCCTGTCCTCTCCCCCCCCCACCCCCATTCACTCTTCTTGAAAAGTAAAAAAAAAAAAAAATTTTATTCTTATGCAATCCCTCCCGCAATTCGTCTTTTATTTGACTGCTGGTGGAGCCTAGCAAGCTGTAACTGTCAACAATGTCAATCTCTTCTCCATCTATCATGGTGCTGCCAATTGGCTCAGTGGTGAGAATCTTTGTCTTCATGATATTGAACTTCACTCCATATTGAAGACTATAGTCCTTGACTGAAGCAAGTGCTTCAGGTCCTCTTGAGTTTCAACAAGCAAGGTTGTGTCATCTGCGTAACGTAGGTTGTTGATGAGTCTTCCTCCAATCCTGATGCTACATTCCTCATAGAGCCCTGCTTCCAAAATAATCTGTTCTGCATACAGATTGAAAAGGTATGGAGACAGGATGCATCTCTGATGTACTCTTTCCTGATTTTGAACAATGCAGTGTTTCCCTGCTCTATTTTGAAGACTATTTCCTGGTCCAAGCATATGTTTCGCCATCAGCACAATCAAGTATTCTGGGATTCCCATTTTCCTCAAGGTTAGCCACAATTTGTTGTGATCCACACAGTCAAATGCCCTTGCACAGTCAATGAAACACAGATAGACATTTCTCTGGTATTCTTTGCTTTCTGCCAAGATCCATCTCACACTGGCAATAATGTCTCTAGTGCCACGACCTCTTTTAAACCCAGCTAGAAAACACAATCACAGCTCTAAAATTCTGTTTAAATAAATAAATAAATAAAATTTCATTCATCTGAAAAATTATCCAGAGTCAACTATCAAAATGCTCGCACTTTTGCTGCTAACTGAAAGGTCATTGGTTTAAATTCATCAGTCTTCATAGGAGGAAGATGGGCAGTTTGCTTCCATAAAGATTTACTGTCTTGAAAACCCTATAAGGCAGTTTTCTGCTTTGACTTGGAACACTATCAATGAGAATCAATCCAATGGCAATGAATTTTTATGGGTTTTATCCTTACCTCAATGGTTTGGGGAACCACACATCTTCGAGGCCCATGAGGAATTCCTAATTGGCCAAACAAGTTGGATCCACAGGATAAAACTTGACCACTTTCTGCAAAATACAATTACTTAAATTGCAAATCTATGAGGCAATGTAATCTGTGGTCAGTAAGTAATTGCATAAAGACAAAAGGTGCAAAAGAAGTAAGAGAAGGTGGTAAGGGCCCTATATTTCACAGCATTCAAAACATATCCTCTATAAAACACTTATCATAGTGCCTAGTGTTGAGATTGGAGGACATTTATTCCTGAAATGTTTCCATTTATTGGTCTTTCTCCTTGTTCTTCCTCATACTTTAAGCCTTCTAGGAGATGAGGAGTAATATAATCACCTGGCACATTTTGAGTAAGGAACAGGAGATCTAAGAGGCTTGGCACCTTCCTCCATTCTCATGCTGGATCTAACTCTACAGAGCAGGGGATCAGGGCTGACACAGGAAGGATCTCCCCAGAGGGGAAGGCTGAGAGTTTGGGTGGGGAGTTTGGATTAGCGCAGTGTTAGCAGAACCACTAGCTTCACAATTAACTTATCTTTCAATTTAATCATTATCCATAAAAAGTCTTCCATTTGATCTCCAAGGCAATGAATCTGTCTAACAATTCGTTCTAAAAGCAGGCAGGAAAGAGAGTGCTCTCTACAGACTCTCTACTGCCTCAGTGCAAGCCCATAATAAGTGCTTCATAAATGATAGCTGTTCTTTAGATTCTAATAATTATTATCAAATTTGACATTCCTTATAGAACACCTTCACAGAAGAGAGACAGTGACACTTGAAGAGGATTTTAAAGAGGAGTTCACCACACAGACAAGAAGGTCATTCCAAACCGAGAGAAGAGCACAAATAAATGTATAAGAGTTGTAAGAATTTGCATAGCCATTTCATGGTGCTAGAAAGCTCTGTGCTACAAAGCTTGGAATTTGAGAGAGAGAAGAAACCAAACAGGTTAGAAGCAAGGGAATAAGATGATCAAATGATGCCCTTGCCAGAGAACTCTAACCAGGAGGCAGCCTGATCAGAAAACATAGATGGTCCTTTATATAGAATGGCCAGCAGGACAGGGTGAGGCCAGGCAGAGAAGCTAAAACTGATTCAAGGGAAAAGGCAGCTGACAGGGTAACTACTGCCATGGGTTCCTAACAACTCGCAAAGCATTATTCTATTAATTCTTTGACCACATTCTTCTATATCCTATCAGCCGTCTGGTTTCACAAAAACCAAAGGGTTCTGTCTAATATCTTATACCCAAGCCTCATTTACTGGCATATTGGGTTGCAAATAACTGGTCAAAATATGTGAAAACAGGCATTATGAAAAAAGGGAATGAGCACTTCAGATCACAAAATGGAGGATGAACACACCATTGCATAACTATCAAATTACATTATTAACAACTGTCAAATTTCACCAAAAGATAACTCCTCATCCACTGAAATCATGGCCCAAAACTGTCACTTATCCTTAACCATCAATGCCAGCATTATTTTTGCCTCATACCTTCGTGTTTTATAGCACCAGAAGGGCATCATTAGTCCACTTAAAAATGGCAGGTTTTAACTATTGAACAATAGATTTTTTTTTTACTATTGGACAGAGAGGGAGTCACAAGTAAAGAATGGGTATAATTAAAAAACAATCCTTTGGGAGCTCTGGTGGCCTAGTGGCAAGAAGCTGTACTGCAATCCCAGAGGTATGCAGTTCAAATCCACCAGAGGCTCTGCCGGAGGAGGGGCAATCATCTCCTATACCAGTCAGATCTGATTTGACAATATACACACAAAATATAATTTAAAAAAAATTAACAAAAAAATAATCCTTCACTGGGGAAAAAGCTGCCATCACTACTGTGGCAACCTCTAATATCCTCATACTTAACCACATTTCCAAGTAACCCTTAGTTAGCTCTACTGCCCAGCTGAGAAAGGCACATGGCTATGGCGAACTTTTGGGGCAAGAAGCCCCACCAAAGGTGTTGTAATCCACTCCCCAATCTCCAGCAATAGTTCTCCAGCCTAACTTCCTTAACTATTAAAAGTCTCCTTACAAAAAACATGTCATAATTTTCCTTGACAATCAGAGAGATCATTTGGGTATGTGTGTATTTAAACATAAAGAGGCATTCACTTAGTCTTTAATCACCATCATTTTCTTTTCACTCAAAGCTTTCAGATCCTTATTTGGGTATAAACTCACCTGTGAGTATAATGGTAAAATCCCAGCCACAGGCAACCTGTTGGACAGGACAGCCAAGGAGGGACGTGCAAGGGGTAAAATACAGAACTTCCTCTGTGTGACCAAGTCCCAGTTGCCCATCTTTATTCAGGCCACAAACAAAAAGATCTCCTCCAGCTGCAAAACATAAAGGGCTTGGTGATAACATGCACAGAGAAAATGATAATTCCCGAAGTTAGCAAAAGACGTCACTCTCATTTAGAATCATAAGCCAAAACTGTTTTCCCCATGCAAGATGGTAAGTTGGATATGTTAATATGCCCTAGAACTAAATGGCACAGGGCCAGAAGACTCAAATCTAATATCTAAATGGAAAGACTAAGTCCTGGTAGTCAATTAATCATCAAATAAGCATCTACTCTAACAGGAGTCATTTAGAATGTATAGAATGTGCCAGCTACCATTCTAAGAGCTTTAAGTACAAGGCTAACTTATCTTTACAGACAGTGTCCACAGCGCACAATACTTTTAGGGTTCCACAAAAATGTTTTCATTTCTTTTAAAATAATGTGAATAGTAGTGAATATAGATTAACAGATCCAGCCTGGCTTATATTCACCTTTATACCAATACAGTTAGGAAATACAATTTTTAATATTTCTTTGGGAGAAAACGGCCCACAAATGCCATAAAATAGCACTGTTAACTCATTAAGTCTCTTCACCTACCATTATTATTCCCATGTTATAGATGAAGAAAGTGTAGAACAGAGAGACTAAGTAACTTATAAAAGGGCACACACCTAATAAAACACAGAACCAGGATGTGAACCTAAACATTTTCATTTTAGAGCTCACCAGGTTTGTCCTGGACAGGTTGCTCATTGGAGGCAAGGATTTCAAAGCTGTCTCTCACGTACCATGGGCATGCTTCCAGGAGGGACCAGTCCTTAGAGAAGGACATCAAGCTTGGAAGGGTGGAGGGACAATGCAGAAGAGGAAGACCTCGGATGAGATGGATTAACACAGTAGCTGGGGTGTGAGGACTGGTGTGGTGGACACAGTAAGACTAGCTCAGGACAGGACAGGGTTTACAGGTATTGTGCAAAGGGTGTTTCTGAGTCACAAATGACTCCACAACACATACACAACAGTGTGAAAGTTAAATAGCGACTGTTACTGATGTTAGGTGCCCTTGACTCGTTAGGGGTTTTCTAGACTGTATACAAACAGAACTAGTTCTTCTTCTCAGGAGTGAGTGAGTAGGTTCTAACCATGAACCTTTTGCTTAGCAGCCAAGTGTTTAAACACTGCACTATCCAGACTCCTTTAAATAGCAATATGTGCTGGGGGAAAATATGTGTTGTAATTCTGCTACTAATCTGCCTCACGATCCATAAACAAGCAGTTTTCCTCTCTGAACCTCATTTGTATGAGGGAGGATTCTCTAGAAGATCTCTAATGCAGTTCAGACAACCAAAAATTCTCTGATGGCAGGATGGTTCTTTCACACACCCCTAAAGAAAAAAATTATTGTAACTAGAATTTAAAATACAAATGACTGAAAGACGGTAACGCAACAATATAGGGGAAAGATCTAAATAAGAAAATTAGTAGAGATCTACTCCTGAAAGAAGTCACCTGTGACAACTGCAGAGTGACCTCCTCCTCCTGTGATCCTCTGGACACACCCAGGGTCACAAAAATCATTCAGCCGCTGGGGCAAAAGCACATCCTCCTTATGGCCCAGGCCGAGCTGTCCATGGCTATTTGCACCCTAGCAGACAAAATAAACCAAAGGTGAATGAGAAAGGGACCCACAACAGTCAATGTTTTCTTACTCATCCTGATATTCCTCACCCTGACATACTTTTGAAGCCTGTAACAAATGAGATTCTGCAATGCTTAAGTGCTCTGCTGCTAATCAAAAGGTCAGTGGTTCAAACTAGCTCTTCACCTTAAAAAGCACGAAGTGATCTGCTCTGGTAGATTACAACCTAGGAAACTCTATGAAGCCTATAGGATCTACTCTGCCCTATGCTGTTGTTGTGTACCGCAGAGTCGGAACCGACCCATAGCTGACCCTCCTGTGGGTTTTCAGAGGCAGTTAATCACACGGGAGGAGACTGTCCAAACTTCTCCCGCCAAGCAGCTGGTGGCCTCAAACTGTATGCCTTCTGGATTGCAGTGCAGTTTCTTGCCATTAGGCCACCAGAGCTCCTATAGGGTCACTAAAAGTAAGAACTGATTACAACGGCGAACAGCAAGAACATTCTTTAAAGAATGTTATATTTAATCCATGCTATACACTGGTCCCATCTCCAGAACACTATGTAGTCCTTGTGAGAACATAGCATCCACCACTTCTCCAGTGACACTCCTCCATGACCCTTCCAATGTCCGACCCATAGGAATATAGTCGGGGGGTGGAGGGGAAAGGGCACACAAATACACCAGAACCAGATCTTGACCCTTCTCCCCAAACCCTCATTGAGAGAACTGGTAAAGACTTTCTATAATCAACACAAGCCAAAAACTGTGCCGTTAAGCAGGGCACTTCACTGTTTCGTTATCTATACACTGAAAGAGGCTGGCAATGATCTCTAAAGGTCTTCCCAAATACAGTGTTCTCAATCAGCAATACAGCTATTATTGTTTATTTGCTATAAGCCCACAATCTCTAATTTGAAGCCCTGTGGCCAGATATATTTAAGATTCAGAATTTTACAAATTTTAGAAAGGTAATATATTGCCTATTCAAAGATTTCTGATGTTTTAACAAGAGTCCCTGCAGATCTACAATCCCTTATCTTCAATGCTAAATACAAAGCATCCTTAAAACCCAAAACTGTCCTGATAAATGGCCATTTATAGTATTTATACTTTTTGTTGCAGAAATATAACCGTTTTGTCATGAGCTACTATCCCAGACCTTGGAGGGGCTCCATAATATATAGACAATGCATTATCTTCCTAAAACCTATATAATTCTGAGTCTCAAATGTTGCCACAGAGGTTCTCTGTTCCTGGCTGTTGTTTCCTAAAGAAGAAAAACCTTTAAAATGTGTTTGTCTTTTAAGGCACCAGAGGGGAAGTGATTTAAAAGTATAAAAGCCCTATATATAAAATTTTGTCACGTGCATCCCTACAGGTATTTCACAAACCAGTCTGGGAGAGCAAGCCATGGCAGAGGCACAGAGCCCAGAGGCTCCCAGAGGACAGTATTAGCTACTAGTCACTGAGTATGTCCCAGTATACTAGATGTTGTCATTATATCCTCACAACCACCTGGCAGATGAACATTTATCATTCCCACTTCATACATGAAGAAATCAAGGCTCAGAGACATTCAGTAACTTTTCCACAGTCATCTGGCAGACAGCAGATCAAACGTCTAGCTCCTTTCATTAACCACACTCTAAGGTGGGAAAAGGATATACATACAAGTGAACTAGCCTAGAGCTTATCTGGCAAGAAGCTACCAACAAGTGTATGACCCTACCTAAAATAACACACTAACCACTTTGTCCTGTCTTTCTGCCTTATTTTCATAGCTCTTATTACTACGTGATATGATTCATTTGTTAACTCGTCTGCGTCTCTTCCCCCAATGGAAAGTAAACTCCACAAAGAAAGGAACCTTGTTTTGCCCACTGCTATTTCTCCTGCACCTTGAACTATTCTCCTCTAGAGAAAGCACATGTATATTTATTTATAGGGTGAATAAACTTAACATTCCATGACTGCCCATCTTAAGAAGATCAAATGAAAGCCCACTGCACAGTGAAGAATACAGGGTATAAAAAGCACAAAATTTTACTAGTCCTCCAGCAGCCTTGAGATCTCAGGGGTTGCCCCATTAACAATTCACAGGTTGCTAATGATCTCGAAAGGCGCCCTGGTGGTGCAATGGTTAAGTGCTCAGCTACTGAGGAAATGAACTTGCCAACTAAGGGAGAAGATTTAGTAATCTTCTCTCATAAAGATTTCAGCTTTGGAAATCCCCTAAGAGAGTTCTAGTCTGTTCTACAGGGTCACTGTGAGTCTGAATCAACAAATATTAGGGGAAGAGGGAAAAGAAGTGAGATACCAGCAATCCAGATTCACCCAATTTCTGCAATGCTGCCACAAGCCCAAAATCCAAATTTAAGGAACCTGTAATACAACTTATAACAGATATATTTGCCTCCCTCTCTTATAACATTTTAGATACACCATACTACATACACATACACACACAAAGGTAAATTCGCTTCCCACAGAGGAGGGAGCACACAACATCAAGAATCGAAGGCCCATTGTGGTTGAACAAAATTTCAGTTTGAGTCCAGACAAGGAATTATCTTAAGGGCTTTTTCTGTCAGATATTTCCTCTATCTCTACACATAGTATGCCACCTTGGAAAACCCAGAGGCAGGATTTGCTTGTCCTCACTGGTACATAATAAAACCCCAACTCAACTGACCTCAGATAGACTCAGACTCTCATGCTGCCTCTGACTCCATACAACCCATCCTTCTGCCAATCTGCAGCTTTACATTCAACAAGTGCTCTCTTGTACTACTAATTATCTTTTTGATTACCCAATAAACACTAATGTTACCAGCAATATAGGTGTTACTCCCTTTCTGGAAAGTCTCATGCTTCTTCTTTTCCAAAAGATCAGGTCATGTCCGGGCACACAGTATGCATTCATTCATTCATTCATTCATCAACAAGTACTTACTGAGCACTTACAATGTGCTAGACACCACACGGTAATAACACATGAACAGTTCTCTGCCCTTATGATGCTCACTTTCAATTCACAGAGACTGACATTAGCAAATTCTACATATTCACAGCATTCTATCAGCAAATACGTAAGGTCTCCGCGTGTGCAAGGCCAGGCCTCACACGCCTCACATCCACAAGATGCTCCCCGCAGGCTGGGTCGGGGCTGGGGAAAGGCCTTTTCATCCAGACGATGGGAGGATGGCGAGCACAGGTGGCTCCCACCGGGCTCTGGGACCGGCGATCCGCCTCCACGAGCCCTCCACGCTGTCCCTCCCAGAGGCTGTCCCGGCCTGGGGGTCTCGCGGAACCAGACGATCAGCCCTGAAAGCAGCTCTTCCCGCTGCACTTCAGCCCCTCCAGTCCAGACCCCACCAGCTGGTAGGTTCCTAAAACACGATGACAGCCCCTTTCCTCCCGACCTTCTCAGCCTCAGCTCCCCGCCCAGAATCCTTCAGCCCAGAGACCGAGGGGACGTCGGCTTCCTTGGCCTCAGTCTTGGTCACGGAGGGGTCCCGAGCACCCAGTGGGCCCCGCGACCCTCAGCAAGAGGAGCCACGGACCGGGGGCGGAGTCACGCACCCAAGCGAAGAGCGCGGCGGGGGCGGCCTCTGGGGCGCAGAGCTTGCGCGCCATGCGGGATCGCTCCGCCGGCGCTTCCGGGAGGGGCAGGAGTGGGGCGGGGCCAGCGCGGGGCGGGGCGGGGCCAGGACCGGGAGGGAGGCGGAGGCGAGGGAAGAGGCCGGCCAGGAACGGTCTATCAGAGCACCGCAGGCAGGTGGTGGCAATGGCCCTACGGGATGACAGTGCTTATGAAGTCACTGGAGCCAGGACGCAATGCCAGACCACCACGAAACAGGCTAAGAGCGCTAAACAGCCGCCTCCCGATCTCCCTTCCCTGCTTGCTGCACTCGAGCGCCCACCCCCGCCCTCCTGTTGCTAGGGAGTTCTACCACTTTCCCTCTTCCAGTGATGTTTCGTTTATTTTTAGTAATGATTCCATACAGGTGCATTACCCTCATCCTAGCACAAGCCTCCTTCACACTTTTCCTTTCTCTTTGAAGTCCAACAACAGTCCATGGGAATTAAAAGAGCAGATATTCTATTGCATTTGATGGGGCAGAAAGTGAGCTTCGGAGAAGATCAAGCCTTAGTCTTAGATGGGCTGATCTTTGAGCCCGGCTTGCATGTGGGTGTCTGCAAAATCTTGACGGAGTAGGACAGTGTAAATAGAGGATGGTGCCTCAGATCATTAGTGGTACCCTCAGCCCAGAATGGTCAGGAATTCTAACCCCAGGACGCTGAACTGAGGAGTCTCTCAGCCTTTCCCAGCTGCGAACCTTCTTCTCATCCTCAGTGCCTTTCCCGAACTTGCATAATCGATAGTGGGTGATTTGGTCAAAGAATTTCATATAAAATAGTGGTTGTTTGAAGTCGAGTCGCCTACAACACTATGTACAGCAGCTCTGAACCTTGCCCTGTCTTGAGCCAGTCTCACTAATTCTGACACACTAACACCCATTGCCCTAGTCACTGTATCAATCCAGCACATCTGGAGTCTTCCTGACATGCATTATCCTTCCATCTTTCCAAGCATGATGTCTTTCTCCAAGGACAGGTCTCTCCTGTCCACGTGCACAAAGTATGTGACACTGAGCTTCAAAATTCTAGCCACTTTAAAACAACTATGAGATATCATCTCACCCCAGTCAAAATAGCAAAATTTAACAGAACAGCAAGCAACAAATGCTGGCGAGGTTGTGGAGAAA